GGAGAAATCCTTTACCTTCCTGGAATCAAATTAAACCCACACATTCTAAAAAAAATTACAAAATCCATGACTTCGCGGTCTGTGCCAATTTGAAAATGTGTGATTTTTGAAGTAGTAATTTTTTTTAGAATAGTTGCGATTTGAAACTCGACGAACCAAAAAAGCGACACTAAAAAGAGATAACATATACATCAATAGGGTTAAACCTGCGAAAGAATGAGATAGAGTACAGTATACATTTTTTTATAACTGACTTTACGACTCTGGGTTCTAGCCCTTCTGAGCCTGAAATTACAATGTATAATCACCCTTCATAGTATACTAATTACAATATGTTGATGCGTCACATTGTGCAGCCCTTGGGAGATTTTGATGGCAGCTTGAGCCAGGAGACAGCTGACAATTGCGATAGTATCTCAAGGCGCCTAAGCAAACAGACACATTATCTTGAGAATCACATCACCATCAGAGCACTTGTTTCACCGTTTCCACTAATAGTTCACATGCACAGACACTTAATACACAAAATTCGCTTCACTCTTACATATAAAATCCACTTCAAGCCATTATTTAAACAATAATACAGCAGCAATCCTCCACCGTTCAAGTTCCCGCCAAAACTCCATACAGTATACAGTATTTCCTAATATTTCTCTTCTTCGTACGGTGTTTTAAAGACGATTAACATAACTTATTTAAACAAATAAAACTAACCATATTGAATAAAATTATCATAACCAATCCATTCATAACAATGCACGATTTCATAACTTACCGATTTATTTTAAATTAGTCGTGTTTACGCCATCTAGCGTCTATTTTACGTACCACATTAAGAGTCAATCAATATTTTTTCGATAAAATTTTACGTATTGAATGAAATAGATGGGGCTACAACAAATTAATTTTACGTTTACAGCCTATTAGTCCACTGCTGAATATAGGCCTCCCCCATAGATTGCCTCATAGAGGGGATATTTGCCATAGAGAGCCGTTCGGGCGATTTAAACTTAATTGTAGAGTCCCTCAGACAAAAATTTTAAGAAATAAACATATTAACTTTGGCATCGCAATATATTTATGAAAATGTAACATATGTACATAAAAACATAAATAGCTTTAATAAGAATAAGAATGTGCATACTTTAAACACTAGGAACAAACATAAGCTTGTAATGCCAGTTACTAGACTCCACAGAATTAGTAATTCATTTATGGGGCAACGTATACGCTTTTACAACAAAATCCCAGAACATATTCAAAGTTTGTCACTAAACAAGTTTAAAAGTTTTATTAAAGAAAAACTGTACAAAAAGGGTTATTATAATATCAAGGAATACATGAATGAAAATAACCCCTGGGAATAAGGTGATCGCCACCATGCTGGTTCTATGAAAACTCATTTAAAAATTGTATAAACGAAATTATTGTCAATGTGAAATTAGTTTGAAAAAAAAAAGTCCCGATGGGTTTCTTGCTGGTTCTTCCCGGGACAGAGGTATTTTCCGAACCAGTGGTAAATAAAAAATTACTTTCAATAAGCATTATGTAATAATCAATATTGAATAAAACATTATTCTATTCTATTCCATTAATAGTTGCCACGCTTGACAAGCGGGCTGGCAACCGAAGTTCTTTTATTTTTAGTCGTTGTAATGAAGACGCTGCTGCCCAACTCCTAATTTTTTTATCTCTGTCTCCTCTATCGACACCCACGGGACGAAATGGGGGTAGTGGATATTCTTACACCGCCACTACACGGTCTTTTAACCCGTCAAATATACCATACACGAAAAAAATATTTAAATAAAAAAAAACGAATCATTGATAAATGTTTTGATATTGATTATTATCTTATAGATCCCATACAGGCGATGCCGGAGGGGTTGCTAATTACTTCATAAGAAATAAATAGGGAAAAAAGTCCGAAATATCTTGAAATAAATAACAAAAATTAAAATTTTTCGTAAAATGTATTCAAGTATTTTACAAACAATATACTTTGCTGCCTCGTTGGACCAAGCATGTAAAGCCGTATGACCTGCGCCTGATCTCTCTCCGGCCGTGTCGTATTACCGTCCCATCGCTCTATCAGAGTGAGGGAGTAGAGAGTGCACCTGTGCTTGCGCACACACTCGTGCACTATAACAGAAGGGCTAGAACCCAGGGCCGTAAAGCCAGTTTAAAAAAATCGTGCACTATAATCCTGTTTCGCGCGGATCCAGTCTCCGTTGAGATTGGCCACCGCGCCGTGACCGAAATTCGGTCATTATATTAAACAATCTAATATATAAAAATTAATTTTGTTTGTTCGCCTTTTCGCTATTTTTGGTTGTTAATTTTATGCGCTGCCATACCGTTCATTATACTGCGGTAAAACTTTGTCAACTTATAGTTAGCACTTGTGCTAAGGTTATAGGCATATTACAATTAACTTACTAACTACTTAATAGTACAGTAGTTCTACTTAATAGTTACATATCATTCAACTTCAACAAATGTATTATCATTCCTAATTAAACTATTCTTTCAATTTTAAAACGATATCGCCAGAATCATTCTTCTGTGGTAGCAACGCGCCGGGTCCCAGCCAGTACACTATAATAGTTGGTGCATATGTTAGTGATCATAACTTGTGAATGACTTGACTGACCAAGGTCATGTTCACACAATATTCTATTTTCTTGAAACATTGCTTCATAGCTGTGGCCTGTAGTAATGTTAATTTAATAACTATCTCTTATTCCCGAATCAATGACGGCATACACGAACTTTCCTGCCACCAGAACGGCGTCACTTAGGAAAGAGGTGAAATATTTGGCAGCTTTTTTAGAGGGAAGTTAATTTATTAGACAAGTGTAGGCTCAAATGTTTTTTTCTGAAATATTAGTTATATAGTTATCGTAGGCCACGGACACCAACCAACATCTACTTATGCAATAACCGGCCAAATTTGAAGAGAAGGTTCAGAATAGGTAATATAGGTAAAATGGTGAAGAAAAATTAAAAAAAAATCTCAAACATTCGGTCCTTTTTATCTTTTAAATTCAAAATGCGTGCTAATGCATTATTTTAACTGATTTCACTGCGCACGCACACATTCGTAAGGGTTGATCGGTAGGCAAAAACGTTGTTGCCCATAAATCACATTCAGTTTGGGATAATCTATAATATAAAAATGAATCGCTGAATGTGTTGCTAAGCGCAAATCTCGAGATTAGCTGAACCGATTTCGCTAATTCTTTTTAATAATATTCCTTGAAGTACGAAAATGGTTCTTACGGAGAGAAAAAGTTAAAAAAATGCCTGAAATATCTAAAAACAACACTTTTCTATATTCCCATACAAAAGATTCGTAACAATACTTAAGTCAATTTGAACTTTAATACCATACCATAAAGCTTAAGTGTTAGTGGAGGGGTTCCGGGAAGGCAAAACAATTGAATGACGTTAGTATCGTATAAATATCAATGTCAATATTTATACACACTGGCAGATAGCTGATGTTATAAGGAGTAACTTGGGTTGCTTTAATTTTAGGGTTCCATGAAAAATAAATTCCACGCGGGCGAAGTCGCGGGGAACAGCTAGTTTCAAATAAAAGTAGAAGCCTTATTAACTCGTATTTTATATTTGCCATAGTCACCACGCTTGGCAAGCACAGTTTTTAACCTCCGATTTAAACACGTGTCTGTCTGTGGCATCGTACCTCCCAAATAGATGAACCGATTTAGACTTAGTTTTTTTTTTGTTTGAAAGGTGACTTGATCGAGAGTGTTATTAACACTTAATCGTTCCAAGGCCGTCAGCTTTTGGTTTTAGGGGTTTTTTAAATTTTCTATTCAATATTATTTTTAGTCGTTATCAGGAAGATGCTGCTGCCCATCGCCTGATCTGTTTCCCTCTGTCACCTCTTACGACACCCACGGGATGATATGGGGTAGTGGATATTTTTACATCGCCACTGCATAGTAATATGAAGTTTTAATCAATATCGTTTACAAAGCCTGGTATGACTTGTCCGATCATTATAAATAGTGTCCTGATTAATCACTTGGTCCATAACATATCTATGTCACACGTCAATGAGGGTATCCACGAGTTTTTCTGCCACCAGGGCGGCGCCACTTAAAAGTGAGGTATAATATTTGACAGATTTGACAGCGGGGTAGTTAACTTGTTAGGAAAATATAAAGGTTATTGTTTCTTTCTGTACTATTAGTTATATTTCATATTAATTAGATTAAAAATAAATAAACCAAACCACAGATATTCCCAAAAGTAGAAAAATTTTAAATAGTTAAAAATGTGCAAAATATTGAATAGCAAACCACTGAGGCGTTGTTTTGTGTATTAATTTAATACTCTAGAAATTGATAAACTTTCATTTAAAACTAACTTCTCAATTAAATGACATTGTGTAACAAAAAACTTTACCTCCGTGTCAACTAGCGACATCTGGTGAGCGGAAAATTTATTAGCCCTCATTATTTTGGTCGTGTAGTAACTAACAACAGAACATGACTCTTTATTTTGTATGTGCGTCCAGTATTGCACTTTTATTTATTATCATTATGTATACATTATCTGTAAGACTATGGAAGGTCCATATGTGAACATATTATGTCTCCCCGTTAGATTGCCCCATAGTGGGGTTATTTGCCATAGTTGCCACGTTTGGCAGGCAGCTACAGTTTATTTATGGATTTTGTTATCAGGGCGATGCTGCTGCCAATTCCCTGTTTCGTTTCTCTTTCTCGCCTCTTACAACATCTGCCGGATGACGTGAACTCTCTACCTCCACCACTAAATGGCTAGTTTTTGCAGTTTTATAGGCTGTTAAAGAAAGAAATAAGAAAAATGTGTGTGTGTGTCATGAAATTGGACATCGTTTCAATGTCACATGTAATTTAAAAAAAATATATTTACATTGTTTTCTATCATCTTTGTATGTTGGTCTGCAGCACCATCCCCAACAAATTATCCTTAACTACCCTCAATTAATCAACAACACCCTCCACTAAGTCCACTTTCACTTTTTTCTCCTTATCATGTCTTTTTGAATGTTGCATCATCTTGCTCCTTGTAAGGAAACGTTTACTGCAGACAGTGCACTGATGAGGTTTGTCCCCAATATGCATTTTGAAGTGCATAATTAGATTGTTCTTTTGGGTGAAACTCTTTGAGCATATCTCGCACTGGTGGGGCTTGATACCCTTGTGTATCTTTTCGTGACGGTCCAAGTCCGCCTTCCGGTAGAATGCTGCATCACAATCACCGCAGATGTAGTTCCTGATACCTTGATGTGATAATATGTGGATACTGAGGTGTCCGAGCTGAGTGTAAGTTTTGCCACATGTGGTGCACATGTAGGGTCTCTCGCCACTGTGAGTGCGCTGGTGCTTTTTAAGCTCGTAGCCGGTTTGAAAGTTTTTCCCACATTGGTCGCATGGGAGGGGGTCCTTTTGTATCACTGGCCGTTTCCATTTCCTCCTAGAAAAAAAAACTTTTTTTTACTATTTTAAGCTAGTGCTTGTGTGTCCCTCCTGATGGTAAGTAGTGATGCATCTGAAGCTGGTGAACCGCACTGACTTAACAAAAGCCTATTCATTCTTGCTTTAAAGACACCCTGGTTTCCATACAGACTTTAGCACCATACACCACATACATACCCTTCGGCAAATTGTACAGAAGCCTCGTATCGGCGGACGAAGTGTAAGGCGTTCCCCCACTAGATGGAGTGACGACGTGGTAAGACATGCAGGAAGTCGATGGACGCAGGTGGCTCGGGACCGTGCTTTGTGGCCTTTTTGTGGGGGAGGCTTATGTTCAGCAGTGGACTTATGAAGGGCTGTAATGATGATGATGATTAAAAACACCCACATTGTAATCGGATGGAAAGACAAACGCTGGCAACTTATTCTACTTTTTTGCTGTATGCATGATGAATGATGAAGCAAACAGTATGGTTCGAATGCATGGTAAGTAGACAATGAAAGAGTGGAGATTGGCCTAGCGTCTGGTAGTCTTATGGTGGAAGGGAGAGGGAGGAATTAAAATCCTGTAGAAAACTAAAAGGCTGGCTACTTTGCACCTGTGTTCAAGTCTGGTGAGATTGGTAAATATACTATTCTTAAATCTCTTAGATGTGTAGTGGTCGCGTAAGACAATCACTGGAGAATTTTCTTCTGGAATATTTTCTTTATAAAATTAAAGTGACAAACCAGCTTACAGTTAACAGTCAGTACTTTGCCCTTGGACACTTGCAGCCAACTTCAAACAAAGAAGACTATGGATGCTTTGCCACCCCTGAGGACTAAGAAGGAATGCCTCACAGCTTGTAATTATGCTCTTTCTCTCTCTCTCTCTCTATACCCTTTAGATCATACAGCAATGCACACACTACTGCTTGCAAGCAGAAATAGTTAAGGAGCTGCCTACACAGACGGCCGCCTAGGCTTGAGTTGTACTACTAGATTTGTTTTTTTTTATAGAATAAATGTTACAAACGAGCACACAGTTCACCTGATGGTAAGTGGTGGCTGTGGTCCATAGACATCTACATCTATCCTCGTTTGCGAATCAAAATACAGATACATTGTCACCCCTGAGGACTAAGACGGAATGCTTCGTTTCCAGTAAAAAGGCTCTCCCGTTCTCTACACTCACCATACGAAACACAGCAGTGTTAGGCTGCTATTTTATTTTGGTATTCTGTGAGAGCGTGATCCTTCCCTGGTCGAGCCGACCCATTCGTGCTACAACTATAATATAACTGCAGCATATTTTTATTCTCATTAAAATATATATTCATGTACAAGAGAATAGTTTTAAAAATAAATTACAAAATTTTTGACATAATTGCACAAGCTAAATAACAAATCAAATTCTTATCAAATATTTTGACAGTAGTAACTTAACTGTTTGTTCAATAGTCAATACTGGGGCTCAAGTGTTACACAAATCAAGCGGGACTGGAAGTGGCTCATATTATTGCAGTGTGTAAAATGTGTTCATTATGTTTGAGTAATTTTCAAAATCAGACATAGTTTTTGATTTTCTTATATTTCTTGCTAATTTATTGTATAATTAGGCTCCATTATACATAATTTACTCATTGCTAGTCAGGGTGCATTCAATCATATTTCTATTTCTTGTCTTAATTACATTTTACCTACTTTTTAGTTACCTAGAGTGATTTTTGTATGTACATATATCTTTATTTAGTATTTTTCTTTTTTATTTATTAAAAATGGGCTTACTCTGGACCTCCATCTGGCCTGTAATATGGCCGGCAAATATGAGGTCTGTGATGAAGCGAGTTTATCCATGAGAAGCCTGTTAACATGCACCTCGAAGAGATTCAGGTCACATGCATTTGGAAAAATAGACGCCGGCAGGATATTCCACTCCTTTGCTGTATTTCTTATTTGTATGCAACTATAATACATGTATGTATGAGTAATATCGACTTACTTTTTTGGTTCTGGTTCTTTTGCTTCTTCATCAGATATTTCTATCACCTCACATTTGATCATCACTTCTTCAATTGCAGGGTCAGCCATTTTGATGCCCTGGAAACTGAAACTTTCATTAAAGTTCCTCTTTCGCTTCGGTGCAAGTACAAACTTGCAAATAGGCTGCTCCCAAAAAGATATGGTAAGAAGCTTCTCTTAGGTTTAGTGGTTGTAAACGTGATTGATAATGTTGAGGTCTTGATTTCAAGTTCGAATCTCAGGTCGGTTTATTACAGTACTATTGAAATATGAGAGTGAGAGAATTACCCATACACTTAGGCACTATAATCCTGTCCTGTGCAGATGGCTAGTCACCGTTGAGACTGGCTGCCGTGACTGAAATGCGGTTAGACATTATTATTATTAATATGGAGATCAGGGATAATAGTATGAAATGGCTCACACATTTGTTTCTTCCTGTCACCGTCCTAGGTAATTTACATTCAATATTGATAGGAAATAGTAATACTCGCATCTGTCAGAGGCTGAAAGATTTTTTGGACACAATGTATTGATAGATTCTGTTTAACCATTATCACAAACAAAGTTATCCAACTTGACAGATTTTCAAGAACTATGGTGGTAATTTATCATCATTATAAGAAGCAGTGTTCTATGCTATAAAACATTTATTAATGGTAGAGCCATGCTGCAGCTATATATATCTGGTATATAAAACTGGCTTGTAAAAGCTCCTGGCGTTGTAGCACAAATGTGTCTGCTTGGTCAGCGAAGGACCATGCTCTCACAAAATACCAGCGTTAAATAGCTGCTTAATGCTGCTGTGTTTAAAATGGTGAGTGTAGAGAACCGGAGACCCTTCTTACTGGAAACAGGGCGTTCCATTTTATTCCTCACGGGTGACAACGCATCTGCATTTTAATTCGTAATCGAGGATAGATGTAGATGTCTATGAGCCACAGCAATCACTTACCATCAGGTAGACTGTGTGCTCGTTTGTCAAAGTATCCTAGAAAAAAAAATCCTTTAGAAAAATGATGTACTGGATAGCATCTCGACTTTTACTGAAAATGAACACGTATGAATAATAAATTATGTTGTCTTGTTGAGATTCTATTAAAATACATACTGTTTAATAAATCTATACCCAATAATATAGTATTTTACTACCTAATACTAATTGAAGCAATTTCATATTCTAAATTACCAAAGGTGTACAAATTTAGTTTCTATGATAATTTATAATTAACTTAAGACACGTACCGAACAATTTTGTAGTAAATGATTAGGTGAGACCTAGCATCACATTTTAATTGTTCTAAAGCTGTCTACATTTTTACTGTGATAACAGTTTGTAAAATTTCAGTTTTAAGTTCTTTAAAGGTATGTAATTATATCGATAATTTTTACTAAATTATGTTTGTTTTTGTGTTTTCAAGTTTCAAGAGCAAATGCGTCATAATGCGGTAAACGCTTCCGGTATATATTACTCTACTCTATGGGTAAACGGTATCAACCGGTATCAACACAATGACCAACAAACCAACAATGACACAAATATTAGCTTTCGCAAATGGCATTGTGACATTGACATTCACAAATAACATTTTTTATTTTCTTTAAAGGCAGAGTTTTACGCCCCCACAGCCTAGTCTGACGTATATTTTGTTCACAATAATAACTAATAATAACAATAATAATATTATATATTTATATTGCCGCTACCCCATATCTTCCCGTGGGTGTCGTAAAAGGCGACAAAGGGAAACAGGCAGGAGATGGGCTGCGTATCGTGATCCTGGTAACGGCAAAAATACAATAAAAAACTGCGGTTGCCAACCCGCTCGCCAAGCGTAGCAACTATGGCAATATACCCCCATGATGAAAGTTACGAAGAGACGGCCCTCAGTCACCGGCGGCCCCACCATTTCTGGCTACGGTGGCGACCATGGTAACGGCGGGGCAGGGGGTGTTAAGAATCTCCGGTGGAGGTTCGGTTGCCACTTACGCCGACTCGACCTGGCAACATACAACGCACGCACCCTGAGGACTGACGAGAAGATTGTGGAGCTGGAAGAAGAGATAGACAAGTTACGCTGGCATATTACCGGGCAACTTGCTCTATTACCGGGAGGGCGACCATCTGTCCCAAGGAGGTTTCGGATTTATCGTCCTCAAGTCTCTCGTTAACAACGTTGTAAAGATTGAGAGTGTGTCGACGAGGGTTGCGTACCTTATACTCAGAATCACCAAACTATATTCGCTGAAGGTCATACAGGTTTACGCACCAACCTCGGCACACCCCGATCAGGAGGTGGAGGAAATGTATGAGGATATCTCTAGAGGAATGCATGGATCTAGAGCCATTCCTCCAAAACCCAATATACGGTGTTAATGGGAGACTTCAATGCAAAACTAGGCACAAGAGAGAACGGTGGGCTGAAAGTGGGGAAATTTGGAATAGGTCAACGGAACCCAAGGGGCCAGCAGCTGGCCGACTTCATGGAGAAAGAGGGACTCTTTATGATGAACTCTTTCTTCCAGAAGCGGCCCCACAGGAAGTGGACCTGGTCGAGCCCTGACGGTTCGACAAAAAATGAGATTGACTTCATTATGACGACCAGACGACAACTGTTCAGTGATGTCTCAGTGATCGCGAGGGTGAAAACCGGCAGCGATCACCGAATGGTTTGAGGCACACTGAAACTTAACGTTAAGTTGGAGAGGTCTCGTCTAATGAAAGTCCCGAAACGTTTCAGCTCGAGTTTCAAAACCGTTTTCAGTGCCTAGAAGACTGCAATGAAGTGGACGATTTGAATGACAAGCTCGTGGAAACTGTCCATGCGGTCGGAGCTAAGTTCTGCAGGACCCGCCGCAGAAGAACACAAAAACTCTCCGATCACACTCTTAATCTCATGGCTGTTAGACTTGACTGATTTGACTTGATTTGACAGCATACAGGCAACTGAACAGACAGATCTCCAAATGCATGCGGCGGGACTTACGCAACTTCAATACAGCTTGTATTGAAGAAGCGATCGAGCGGAACCAAGGCTCCAAAGTCTTTGCCAGAGATCTGTCTGCCAGAAAGAGCCAACTGTCAAAGCTGAAGACCGAATGTGGCAGCATCGTTTCCGGGGCACCTGAGATTTTGAGTGAGATTGAGAGGTTCTATGGGCAGCTGTACACGTCATCGTTGGAGCCTCACGCAAGTGTGAGTAACGATCCAAGAGCGAGTCGTATCCGACATTATTCCGATGATATCCCGAACGTCAGTCTGAGCGAGATTAGAATGGCTCTCCAGCACCTTAAAAACGGCAAGACTCCAGGCGAGGATGGAATTACAGCGGACCTTCTGAAAGCGGGTGGAAAACCGGTACTTGAAGTCCTTCAGAAGCTCTTTAATTCCGTCCTCCATGGTGGCATTACACCAGAGGCGTGGAGCAGAAGTGCGGTGGTCTTGTTCTTCAAGAAAGGCGACAACGCTCTATTGAAGAACTACAGACCGATTTCCCTTCTGAGCCGCGTTTACGTGCTGTTTTCGAGAGTCATTACCAATCGTCTCGCGCGCAGACTTGACGACTTCCAGCCTCCCGAACAAGCCGGTTTCCGAAAGGGCTTTAGCACCATAGACCACATACATACCCTTCGGCAAATTGTACAGAAGTCCGAGGAGTACAATTTGCCACTATGTCTGGCGTATGTGGACTATGAGAAAGCCTTGGATTCCGTCGATATTTGGGCGGTGCTGCAGTCCCTTCAGCGATGCCAAGTTGACTGTCGGTATATCGAAGTGTTGAAGTGCTTGTACAGTAGGGCTACGATGGCTATCCGAGTACAGGACCAGAGTACGAAACCTATCCAATTGCAGAGCAATTGGATAGGTTTCGTACTCTGGTCTCTGGTCTCAGGTGTAAGACTGGGTGACGTCATATCCCCGAAATTCTTTACCGCTGCATTGGAAGATGTTTTCAAGCTTCTGGACTGGAAAGGATACGGTATCAACATCAATGGCGAGTACATCACTCACCTTCGATTTGCCGACGATATAGTCCTTATGGCAGAATCGCTGGAGGACCTAAGCACTATGCTCAATGACCTCAATAGTGTTTCCCAACGGATAGGTCTTAAGATGAACATGTACAAAACAAAGATCATGTTTAATGTCCATGTCACACCTATGCCGGTAGTTGTTGGGAACACTAAGCTCGAAGTTGTTGACGAGTATGTTTACCTGGGACAAATAGTCCGACTAGGTAAGTCCAACTTCGACCGAGAGGTCAATCGACGGATTCAACTCGGTTGGGCAGCGTTCGGGAAATTACGGCACATCTTCTCGTCAGGTATACCTCAAAACTTGAAAACGAGACTGTACACCCAGTGCGTGTTGCCAGTGATGACATACGGAACTGAGACGTGGTCCTTCATTGCTGGCCGGATGAGGAAGCTCAAGGTCGCTCAGCGAGCTATGGAGAGGGCTATGCTCGGAGTTTCTCTGCGTGATAAACTCAGAAATGAGGATATCCGCAGTAGAACCAGAGTGACCGACATAGCCCAACGGATTAGTAAGCTGAAGTGGCAATGGGCCGGCCATATAGCTCGAAGAACCGACAATCGATGGGGAAGAAAGGTTCTCGAGTGGCAGCCTCGTACCGGCAGGCGAAGTGTAGGGCGTCCCCCCACTAGATGGAGTGACGACCTGAAAGATATGCAGGAAGTCGATGGATGCAGGTGGCTCAGGACCGTGCTTTGTGGCATTCTTTGGGGGATGCCTATGTTCAGCAGTGGACTTGTGAAGGGCTGTAATGATGATGATGATGATGATTTATATTGCCCAACCAGATGAGATAACTTTATAGATACCCCATAATAATAATAATTACCATTCCTTATGACGAGAACCTCGTGAAAGCCGAAACAGATAAGCTGACAAAATATCTGGACCTGGCTCACGAGGTGATCGACATTATTCCTGTGGTCGTTTCTGCGAACGGGTTAATCCCAGTCAGCCTCTCGGGTCATCTGAGGCGACTGGGACTCCGTGACGGATCGTTCCAAGCTCAAATGCAGAAGGCGGTGATCCTCCA